TGATTGGCCGAAATTTACCTGGCTCGACTCGGCATATTTCAAAAAACTTCTTATTTTCTGTAGTATTTTTTATTCAAATTTCGTTAAAATCCCTTAGGCACGATTGGCTCTGCCATAAGGGGCCATCGTCAAGAATAAAAAAACTTTCGGGCGAAAGCAATAGGAACCCCTAATCGGGGGCCTAAAAACTTTCGGGCGAAAGCAATAGGCACCCCTGATCGGGGGCCTAAAAACACTATACTGAAACCTTACTAAAAAGTTTAATTTAACAGTTGGCCAACTTGTATAACCGAATAGATACGAAACAACCCGAAGATCACTTCGTTATTGGCTGAGCGATTAGCGAAGCCCATTACTCCACTGACCCGAAAAGTTTCATTCTGTTTGTGTGCTTGTTTGTTTGTCTGTCTGTCCGCACGACAACTCGAGAATGAATTGAGATAGCGATCTGGGAATTTTAGGGTCGTTTTGTATCACAAAAAGACACATCGAGTTCGAAGATGAGCATTCTAGCTCAAAAATTGACTTTTTAAAAAATCGAAAACCGCAGGTTGCAAAATGTATTTTTTTCAAATATTTTTTTATGGGTTCCTAAGAGGTAAATCGTCAAAGTATGGCCTGTTGACAAAAATGTCGTCCGTTTTGCTCTATCTTGTACCGTTCCGGCGCTATGCGGCATTTCTTGGCGAAAACAACGTGAAAAAGACAAAATGGTCCATTAAATCGTAGAAAGGCTGCATGTCACAGAAATGTTAAGGGAATAATACTTAAACCACATGTCGCACTACACCCTCTTTTGGGCTTAAGGGTCGCTAGATTACCTAATATATCTAAAAGGTTGATTTTTACATAACATTTACAGAGTAAAAAGGCCCCGACAAATGGTTCGAGTATGTCAAATTTTGGCCCCGAAAGTGTAAGCTTGGTTGGAGTTAGAGTGTCGCATTGACAGAAAAAATAATGTCTGAGTTTAAAATTTGAAGGCCGAGCCCGGAGCTCCAACAAATAAATGTGGTAGCAGGTAGTGGTTTATAAACAATCTCGGCTTGGGCACCAGGTGGACACAGGCCACCCCCAGAATTATTTCAAAGTAAGTAGTACTTCAATGTTCAGGTAGAGGGGTGATCAAAAGGATTACATTTCAATGGCAACATAAATCTTTATTCAAAACTTCACTCTTTTTTTTCACACTATACACTAGATAGGTCTGTGGCGAGGGAGAAATACAATCTCAAAACACAATACAAATGAAGACGTGTCACAGGTCCTAGACCTCCCCTCCCACGAAACCCCCAAAATCTAATTGGTGAATAAATAGAGAAGTTAACCTATAACTCCATCATAGGATAATAAAAGATATGGCACAAATTTTGGATAAACAAAGCCCGTGGCTCCGGCCAACGCCACGGGATGTGGCAGACATCCCAACTAAACTCAAGTGATCACAAACACAAAACGCCAAGAAACTAACGGCCAATTATAACTGCCCCCATAATGTAAATGCGTTACCCAAAACAAATTATGCCAATTGAAAGTAAGAAAACTGAAACAAGTTAACTGAAATGAAAAACAAAGAGGCAAAACCGAAGTAAAAGGCCTATGCTCAACGGCACAACGTGCCCATACCACGAGCGGCTAGGACCCGGCCAGACCCCGGGTAGGGTACACCATGGCCGCCCGATGGGTACTCCGAGACGTTCTACCGAGTAGAGTACACCATGGCCAGCCGATGGGCACCCTTAGACGCCCTGCGCCGCAACCCCCTTTACCACTCGCAGCATCTCATCGAGAGCAAAGCGAGAGGGGTGCAGCAAGTCCGGCCGGGCCTTCAGCGTCGGGCAGAACCGGTCGGGCAGTAACTCGCCAGCAGTATTCCGAAACACATGGTCAAAAGGCACGGTGGTCACGTTCCGTTTTTGGGCCAGGGAGCGGACCCAGAAATTAAATTGCTTGATGATAGGGGCCAGCCACTGAAGTTTTGGGTTGGCCACGGGCAGCAGTTCACAAACAGCCACCCGGGCCCCCTGACGAAGCAAATGATTTACTAAGGCCAAAAGCAATTTCCAAATTGTGGCCGGCTCCCGCCCCTTTACTAAATCGTTGATTCCTATCAACAGGAAATACAGTGGGGCTGGGTCCAACTCCCCGGCCTGAGCACGGAGCTTGACGCGCACCCGGAGCTCCTGGACCCCCTGTCCGCTCACGCACAGCCCTCGGCTGGCGAGGTCATGCGGGGCCCCGGGGCGCGCAAGCATCCGGCGAAAGATGCTGTCCCCAGCGAGTACATAAGCCATTCCGATCGGAACCACCTTACTTTGTGAGGAAGAGATGACGAGGCGGAGAGAGACGGCGGCTGCTTGATACACTACAGCATGCTGTCGAGGCCGGCGCTGGGAGGCCGACGGGCCAGGAGGCTACTCCATAATGAAAGCCAAGCTAGGGAAAAACAAGGCGTTAGCACACACTCAATCACCATGGAGGCAGCGTAGCGGCGTAGCGGCTCCTGCGGCCCACGAGGCCGGAAGTGCGCGCTAGCACTCACCTGGGGGGGACGACGAAACAAGAACCGCACCGATCAGCTGTGCAGAAGCGAATGTCCGCCGCCGCCCAGCTGACCGGACGGGGTAGACCCGCCGCGCCGAGAGAGCGCTCTCGCGGCGCGGAGGGAAAGACTATGTCGGGGAGTCAGGTGCATCGCCGCCCGATGGCGCTGCAGTCGCCGTAAAGTCAGTCGTTTGTCCGTCAAGTCATTTGTCGTAACGGGCTCGTTACAAAAGGCCCTGTTCCCCAATACCCTCTCCTTAACTCGTCTCGGGTGTCAGCGCCCTTGTGAGAATCGAGGGGGCGGGGCTGGAGTCGCAACGGGCCCCGTCCCTAACCCCTGTCTTGGCCGACTGCGAAGGGTACTCCTCTGGTCTCGGCAGGAATTTCCACAAAATTTTCACACACCCATGTTCCTGAAGGTCTGCTCTAATTATTCATCCAAAAAAAGTTCACTCACATGCACACACATTCAAGTGACGACCCGCGAAGCACGGGGCAGGCCGCCTGCAGCCGCCTCCCTCCAATCCGACGCACCGCCTGCGCGCCGCTCCGTAACGGCCGCAGCCGCTCCAGGCCTCTCTGAGTGGCGCGCTCTAGCGGCCGGCCGCCGAGACAGCCCAGCCGCGAGCAGACGAGCTCGTGTTTTGAATGTTGTTTGTTTACACGACAGAGGCAGCTTTTCGTGAAATTAAATAATTCGTTCATAAGATGTCTGACAATGATGACGAGGATTTCAACGCTAGTTATGAAGCGGATAATCCCGATAATACTACGGTAGTAGTATTGTGATGTCTGTTTCGTAAATGAACCAAATTTGTTCACAACTTTCAGACTTACGCAATGCTCAGCGCACGATTGGACTCAACGTTTTGTCTTTTTATGTTTTAGGAAGTTAGTTGTTTAAACGAAACGGTGGTGTCTGAGTCATCCTGTAATGACGAATTGGAATCTTCCCTTTCGTTTTCTTCTACGACGTCTGAGGCCCCGTTGTCATCAACTCCTAGTAAGAAGGGTACAGCAAGCAGGACAAGCAGCAGACAGAAAAAAGGCTCAAAGGCTCTTCCCAAGAGTAAGGAACCGTTTAAGGTTCCTTCTGCACCTCCTATTTTTTGGGGGAAGTGTCCCCGGTGTGGTAGGGGCCTGAAATCCATGTCAGGGCTGAACAACCACATTTTAGCTCATGACTGGAAAGGTTTGTGTTTGTGCCTAATGTGGATTACATGACAGGTGCATGTCCCAATCTGACTCTCCCTTATAATATTTTTTATTTGTCTTAAATTCAGATCTTGCAACAAAGAAGCCCTCGAGTTCAGCGATAGAAGAGTATTGTCATGAGGCTCATGTATCAATACTTGAAGCTATGAAGTCGTTGCCCAAAGGTGGCAAAATTGGCATAGACTTCAATGAGTATGTGTCCAAACTTATTGAAAAAAAAAGTAGCCCTGAATGGAAGAAACTGGTTGATGCAGTGAGTTCTCTACTCTCAAAAATTTTAAGCTTTAATAATAATAGGAGGAGTGCTACTTTTGGATCTGCATTAAGAAACCACCTGTACAGTTCTATTCGAAAAGAGCTGTCCAACACTGAGAAACGTGATGAATTGATGGATTTATTGCTAGGTGTTGAGGTGGTAATTGTCCAGGTAGCTAACTTATTTTTGTTTGATTTTGTTCAACAAATGGGAAATGCTGCTTTAGTATTTGTCTTTCGATCCATTACTGGAAGAACTGGAAAGGAGAAAGAAGGAAGACAAAGTATGGAGAAAGACTGCTTCCCATCTGCTAAAGAGCAGAACCGCACAAAATGTGAACAAATGCGCCCCTTCAAGAACCTCAGAATTATTTTGGATGGTGTTGAAATCAAAATTGAAACACCAAGCAATTTTCACATGCAAGGAAATACATATTCACAATACAAAGGTTGCAATACTGTGCGATTTATTGTAGGCATTGACAGTTCTGGTGCAACTGCTTTTATTAGTCCAGCCTGTGAGGGTGCGCTCTCTGAGAAAGAAGCAGTACTGAGAAGTGGTCTACTCCAACGGCTAGAAAAGGGAGATCTAGTAATGACAGATCGTGGCTTTGAAATAACTGCAGAACTACAAGCTATTGGTGTACATCATGTAAAACCACCCAGTCTTGGACAACGTGACAGCCTTACAGCTGAAGAGGAAACATTGACCAAGGCAATTGCATGTGTTAGAATCTACAGTGAACATGCTATAGCTGACATTAAGGATAACAAGCTCTTGAGAAATGTTCTTCCTCTGTCAATGTATCCTGAGATATCTGATTTAGTGTATGTTGCTGGTTACCTACGAAACTTTTCTCCTAAGAGGATCATTAGTAAATCTTTTAGTCGAAGGAATCCCGATGAAGAAAATGGCAATAATCCAGATGACTTATAATTTTAAGATTATGTTCTGAATGTGCTAAACCATTCCACTTGAGTTTTCTTTTAAAAATCTATTTTTGAGAAAGCAAAGACAAAATGATGATAGAAATAAAAATTGTTTTATTGGAATTAATGTGTCATAAAAAACTTCACCAATTCCCCTTGTGATGAATGTTGTGTAAATTTTTCTGATTTTCCACTGAAGACCTGCAAACCTAAAGGCTTAAGAAAGTTGATTATTGTTCCATCACTGACCACACCAAGACCATGTAAGTTTACCTGACTCGCTGCAAAATAAAGGTACAGAACTAAACTCATTCCATTCATCTAGATGTCAATTCAAGCAGAACCAATACCTACATAGCTGGGATTTAAAGGCAATTAGATCAATTGCTAGAACTAGCTATATGTACGCCAGACCACGTCTCGCGTAACAGGCTTCGCGATATCTCACGAAACACTGTTACGCTGCGACGCGCCTGGCGCACATATAGCAAGGCCTGCGGCGCTGACACCCGAGACGGGGTAACAGGAGTGTATATACAATTTTTCGAAATGAAGTCTTTTTAACGATTTAATCGACCATTTAAACATTTTCACCTCATTTTTGTCAAGAAATGCCCTCTAGCACCTAAACGGTCCAAGATAGAGCCAAACGGACGAAATTTTCGCTCAGAGGGCTCTACTTTGATGGTTTCCCCCTTAGGAACCCATAAAAAAAAATTTGATAAATATACATTTTGCGACCTGTAGTTTTTGATTTTTTAAAAAGCCAATTTTTGAGCTAGAATGCTCATCTTCGAACTCGATCTGTCTTTTTATGATACAAAACGACCCTGAAATTCCCAGATCGCTATCTCAATTCTTTCTCGAGTTATCGTCAGGGGCGCCCAAACGATTTCGTCGAGGTGGGTCAGAGTACGCTGACACCCTCCCTTTTCATCATCCTGACCTCCCCTTTCATTTTTTTTCTTCTTAATACATAATACATACTAAGTTACTCTACTTATGCACAGATCTAGTGAAAGGTGAATGGTGGTTATACGGGACCGTCATACTAAGCTGCTTATCTCTTAGGAGGCAGGTGCAATTAATCAGTTAAAATTTGCAAATATCGAAACGGCTCAGTACTTCTGTTATGTTATGCTATTCACTACATAAAACACAAAGACACGACACTCGTGTAGCAGTTTGGTTTTGGACGGCTCACAGTAGAGAGATCGTTCAAGATCAAAGAAATCGCGAGCGAAGCGAGCGAGAAAAATTATGGACGGAAACGAATTACATCCGTGACCGACGCGACAAGAGTCTTAAGCCTTAAGGAAAAAGGGCCAGATGCCAGACCCAGTGAGGCAAGGCACACGAGTGTACTTACTGCTTGATAAATTATAGAAACATTTTACTTGTTTTATTGGGATATTTTTGCATTTTTATGCTTTTTTACCATTACAATTTTTTTTGTTCGTGTGTCTTTTAGACATGCGGAAAGGAGCCAAACGCTATGAAGAATCTAACGCTGCATTTTTTTTTAAAAACAACGATGTTTTTTTTTGCTTGAGCTCCAAATATTCGCTAGATATAGCGCATAGTAGACTTTGAGATCATGTTAATTAAGCCCGGGAGGGACAGTTTTTCCAGACCATTTCCGTGTCACCGAACAGGAGCAGTTAGCAGTTGTACCAGTTGCTCCAATATTAAATCCCCCCATGGCAAGAGCAAGTAAAAGCCGCGAGCGAAGCGAGCGCGAAAAAATTTTTGGGCATAGGAGCACGAAGATGCTATTTTGGGCGCTTAAATTAATGTTATAAAGCAGCCGTAAAAACAGGTAGCTGCACTGAAGCAGAATTGAATCACATTCCCATCAAAGGACCGCGAGCGTAGCGAGCGCGAAAAAATTTTGGGCCATAGGAGCACGAAGATGCTATTTTGGGCGCTTAAATAAATGCTATAAAGCAGCCGTAAAAACAGGTAGCTGCACTGAAGCAGAATTTACTTCCTCATCAAAGGACCGCGAGCGTAGCGAGCGCAAAAAAAAAAAATCGGTTTTAAAGCTCGCCAAAATCGAGCAAAAATAGCGGGATGTACACTGGTAAAACTAATGTTACCATGGTAACGTTTCATCATGTGACCAAGACCGGTAACGTTTCCTGACGCGACCTACCCCATGCAAAAGGATAGGACCATCACAAACTGGTTGCATCACCAAACGTTACCTGGTTTGGTCGCGTCAAGAAACGTTACCTCGGTAACGTTAGTTTTTCCAGTGTACTCCTACCCCATACCCTAACTAAATTAGGGTGTTACCTCTTTCGCTTCCAGAGAAACAAATTCACATGTGGACGGACATCAGGTCGCTTACAAATGGAATGTTTATATGAGCCCGATGGATTGGTTTTTCGAAGCAGTCATGTTGGGTAAAACTGTTAGCGACCACGGACCTAAACGAGTTGTAAATAGACACTTCTACATATCTCCCTCCGCCTTCTTCCTTCCTTTCTTTCCTTATCTTTTCTTTTCCTTTCTCTCCCTTTCCTTCTCCCCTTTTTCTTCCTCTTTTTCTTCCTTTCTCCTCCCCTTTCCTCCCTTTCTACCTCCCCTTTCCTCTCCTCTTTACCTCCCCTTTCCTCTTCTGCTACCTCCCCTTTCCCTCCTCCTCCACCTCCCCTTTCGGGATTCTGAGGTGGGTCGGCTGACCCACCTTGACCCCCGTTTGGGCGCCCCTGGTTATCGTGCGGACAGACGGACAAACAAACAAACAAACAGACAAACAAACAGAATGAAACTTTTCCGGTCAGTGGAGTAATGGGCTTCGCTAATCGCTCAGCCAATAAAGCAGAGGCAGTAAAATGTATAACACATCCTAGAAAAATATGTAGCAAATAAGTTCTACTTGTATTGACAAACATAAATATTAAACACATGTTTACATCACCTTGACATCCATTGATTCTAATGTGAGTCGAAATGAAAAGCAGCAAAGCACTGACATGGGAACACCTACCAAGTGCATTCACTTTGCATTTGGTGTCACACTTGGCAGTATATACCACACCAGAGGCATTCTAAAGTGCGACATATACTTGGTAGGCACAAAAATCCATCGATGCTCGAACCTGAGCCTTTACAAAGTGAATCCTGCCCAGTACTAAGTCTCTGACGTTTCTTATGTAATTACTCTTCACAAAAAGTAATCCTCTTCGCATTGGTTTACATGAGGCACAAATGTCTTCCTCTGATAAGTCCAAGACGTTTTTGGCAGAGGGCACATCTTCATCTTCTGAGCTGCTTTCCAAACTGTCACTTTCCCCTTGATACTGAGGTGCACTTTCAATAATGTAGTGAAAAATGCAACCAAAATTGAATGATGATGGAAGGTTTGAGTGGGGAAAGGTGTCCCATTGGCCCGAAGGAAATTCCACGGTACAAGCTCTTTGAAAAGTCAAAACCTGTAAGAATTAATAGGAACAAAGGATGAAGATTTAAACAATTATTGTCTTATTCAATATATCTAATTAAATTCGGAGTTACCTGTTGTGAAGCTTCAACCACATTTCTTTTCAGGTTGTACCAAAGTCCATTATCAATTTTAGGATCAATTCTATGATCCATATTCATTGCCATGCAGTGTTTCACTTTGAAATGAATAAAGTACAAATAAATTCAGTAGGAATAGAGTTATCAACTGTATTGTATACTAATAGTAACAAAAAAAATATCACCTTTCTATTAAAGCATCCCTATTCCCCATTGTCGATAGGCCCCTACATTTCAACCAACGCTTTAATATATCAACGTTTGCAGCATTCTCTGGATTTGTCGTTAAAACTGCCCCAACTACATCTTTTGGAGTTAAAGTAACAGTAACGTGCTGGGGAATTATCAGTTTCTCAGCAACATCATGGGCAAGGTCAAGATTACTCAACTGTTAAAGAAAGTAGAAACAATGAAAAAACAGAAATTACAAACATTTATCTCCTGAAAACCTTGGCGGCTTTAGTACCTGGTTTGTTAACAAATTTGCATCTTGAAATGGATCAAAATTTTCCTCTATCAATTGAAATTTGTCAAAGTTGTTGAGGCCCTTCAGAAAATATTTAAGTATTAGAAAAGCTTATCATGACACTAAAACCAACAAAATGTAATTGTTACCCACATCATTTGCTTCTCCACTGTGTTGTTCTATTCTATTAGGATCGGAAAACAAACTGGTATCCTGACAAAAAATTAAGAAGAAGGAAATACATTACAAATGGCAAACAAGGAGGCAAATTTTGAAAACATAACTTGCTTGGAAATGTTTTTAATATTGAATACCTTTCCTATGGCATAATCATGAACAGAAGGGTTGGAATGCGTCTGGAAAAAACAAGTAAATGAGCGGAATTCCTTCATGAAATAAGCCAAATGTCTGGGGCACTCCGAATCAATGTAATCTCAACTTCTCCCTTTGAGATATTTGAATCTTTATAGGTTTCAAAGTCTTGGTATTAAGCTCCTGTAAAACAAAAAGTCAAAAGTGATTGTTGCAGAAAATCAAAGAGGAAATTGTTATGCAACTGTTAAAATAATACCTTCATTATGGCATAATCATGCTCAGATTGGTTTGAATGTGTCTGAAACAAATATAAGTTCAGGAATAAAATTATTGCTTCACTGACTAAGTTAACTCTC